TTTTTGTTCCACTGTCAGTAATAGAACCTTTAAGGAATAACAAAAATGTATGAAATAAATACATTGGCTGTTTCATTTCAGCTAGTATACCATCTGCTATTGTCAACTTTTCGAGAACATTCAAGTTATGCAATTTTCTTTAGGACTAACCAAGTTTTCATTTCGTGAGAAAGGTCAATGGTGAAATTCGGCAAACAACTGCCATGCAGTCAGGTGCAGTGCACGAAAAAGTTTCATTGAACAACTGGGTGCGAATTACTAAGTTAGCAAAGTATTCTTTCAAAACGCAATTTTCAACCTTGGAAGCCATGAGAACCGTGTTCGCAGAATTCTCTCCTGCAAGGGCTTAACTTAACCACTAACTGACACTCAGTGACGAATAGGGTAAGTCTGACTCGCAGTACGCCTGGATACCCATTGCGCCTGTGCTTTCATAAATAAGTTTTGGATTGATGCGTTTTCTTGCTGTGTGAAAAAAACGACAAAGGACTCCTCGTAACGCACACGAACCTCGGATAATCAACAGAGCCGTGAAAATGAACAACACCGTCTCCAGCGTCCAATGATCAACTCCTTCAGGTTGCACTGTCTGATAAAACACTCTCAATGCGCAATGAAAGACAGCAAGAAAAGCCGTCGCCCAACAGAGAAGAGTGTAAGTCATCATCATCAATAACCACGTGAGCCAGCGGAGTAAAAGACCTCAGCTATATAAAATAAAAATAGAAAATAAATGCAAAATTTGCTTGCCAGCTGAGCTACAAGCAACGGATGGGCATCGTTCCGGAAAGGTAGCAGCCGGCTACTATGCAGCAAAAATTTGCTATACAAAATTACATAAGGCTAAATAGTGAGATCGTGGTTTGTGGCGTGGGCTAAGAGGGAAGGGGGATAACGAAACTCACTACACGAACTCCACTGAGGTCGGCTCCCAGCCATGTCAGCAACTGTATCCAGCCAAACGTGTTCACCATCCTTCGTACCCCAACCAGGGTCCGAGACGCTCTAACCAAATCCAGCACCGAAGTCAGAGCCTTCAATCCTCACCTGTCCTTCTCTTCCATCCACACCGCGCGGCGAGGAAACAACCCACGACGCCGCAGACGATAGGCTGGCATGCGTAACTAGTGGCCGAACCATCGCAGCCTGGTGGGTGAAATGACGGTGCTGAGTAGTTCAGTTCCTTTTCCTGTGCCGTAAACAAGGCGTCGAAGACGCTCATTGCTCATGCCGTGTACCAACCAGGTATGGGCCAGACTGCGAAGGCACAGACGGTCGAACGTAAGTAGACTATTTATATCCGCTGATCTAAGGGGTCAGGTTTCACAACTGTACAGTATGGTCGAACGTACAGTTGCATGGTATACTGTACCCTTCAGGGCGAGAATGAAGTCGCGCCGGCGCAATAAGTGGCTAACGCTAACAGAAGCACCGCGAGCTTTTACTAGACGGTTTGTGAATTCAGCTTCGATTATAAGGGCGCTGATACAACTTCTCAGCTAGTTGAATTTCTGAAAGATTACTAGTTGTTTGCAAAAAAGGTCAGTGCAGGAGGCGGTCCCTGCCAAGCTTGGAAGAAAGCCTTGCATTTCGCTGGTGCGAAGGAAATCCCAGAGCAGCTGACAGCCAGTGCCACTCTGTCCAGTGCAGCTAGACACCTCTGGGAGTTGTCCCAGATGAAGGCAATATCTTCTGCATGCTCCAAGTCAAGAAATCGTTCTCCTGGGAGTAGCTTCACACCCACTAATTTGTGTTCTGCGCATACAATCTCCATGACTTCGTCAATAGCGGACTTGAGGAGGAAAGGTGACAGCGGGCATTCTTGTCTCACACCGCTGGAGATATTGAAGTGCGGCGACTGCTTGCCGTTAGCACTCGCTGTGCCAAAATTGGGCACGTATAGTGCGCGGATAATATTTACATATTTCTCAAGTACACTTTCCCTGAATAGATAGTTCCAAATTGCACGTCTATTCACCGAATCGAATGCACCATTGATATCGGCGAACACAACAATGGTGGGCCGCCAATATATTTGACGGTGCTCCAACAACTGACGCAAAGTAAAGATGTGGTCAATGCAGTCACGACCTCGACGAGACCCAGCTTGCTCTTCACGAATATGGCTTTCACGAGTGCCAGTCAGTCTGTTAAGTATTAGAGAGGCAAGTAATTTGGAGGCGATGGGGATCAGACTGATTCCTCTATGGCTGCCGCATTCCGATCGTGAGCCTCCCTTGAAAATTGAGACTATGAGGGAGCGGCTCCAGTCAGTTGGTACAGTTTCCTGCTCCCATAGTTTCACAAGTAATTTGTGTAAACCACACACAAGAGCACGTCTGCCTAATTTATAGAGGGCTGGCGAAAAATCATGTTTTCCCGCGGCTTTATTTAACTTCAACAGTCCGATCTCACGTTCGACTTTTGAGCGAGAGGGTGGATCCAAAGCGATAGCCCACGGAGCGGGGAGATCATTGGCCGGAGGGAAATCTAACAATTCCGACCGATTACATTGACTTTCAAAGTGCTCAGCCCAACGCTCCAAACCTCTTGACAAGATGTGGATAGGCTGTCCACTCTCGTCACAAATTGTTTCACTAACACCAGGTCTTCTGCTACCCGTTTCCCGTACCAGAGGGAATAACTTTCGATGATAAAAGAGTGTAAAAGACCATTTAATGAAAACACTGATGTACTTTCCCTCACCATTTTGCTTCCACAAATACAGTAGCAGTGATCGCAAGAGGGCAAATGTCAGTAAAGATGCATTAGTATCTTTTGTCTTGAATTTTGATTGAACACACGTAAATTCCTACCAATTCAACGTAGACCTCAATCAAGAAGACCAATCGGCCGGAATTCATTTAAAGACAAGTATTCATCTAGGAAAGATCAATTGAAATTATTGTCCACTAATGAATTAAATAGTCAGCGGTTTACTGTGCGTAAACGTAATGTACGACGGGCATCAAAGACGCTATATAAAGAGAACCGTGTTATTTTAACCCAACAGAACATACTCCGAGTCAAATGAGCTAGAGTGCAAATTAGTCAAAAGAATTGATGTAAACCATTTCGTCACCCCAGAGACCACTATAAATCCTAAGAAGGTAGACTGAAGTTCCACAGAGAAAAATGAAAAGCTACCTGATTATTCATGCATGCACCATATTACGAAATAAGCACTGTGTCTGTGTTTCTGAGCAAACTAAATGTGGAGGCTCTAGGCTGCCTGACAACAGTCCTGATTCCCAGTCTGCTTGATAACTTGTGGTTACATAGGAATGGCAAACTTGCGGTGGGACAAACACTAAGTGACAAAGAATGGAATTGGGGCAGTGAATCATGTATGGATAAACTAAATCCCAATGGGATATCGCCTAACCCCACGGTTTAAACTAGGGGTGTCCAAACGTCTGCAACTTGGACCACATTTTGTGAGGCAAAAGTAAGTCGGGCCATATTCAATCTGACATTAGCATACTAATAACATTTACACATGTATGAAAAAATCCCAGCCTGAATTCCTTATTTCATGATCAGGCCGTGGGCCAGTTAATATATAAATGCGGGCCGGACTTTGGACACCCCTGGTTTAAATTAACTACGGCTAAAATCAATATGAATATACTACGCAGTGAGATAGAACATTTTGGATTATTTTACTTGACATAAGTGCTGACCAAAATGTTGATGCCTTGGCTTTATTGCGCATGAAATTAGTATTTAATGCAACTGTGATTGGACAACCTTTGGTAACTCCTGCACATACCGCTCAGAAAGCGCTACGTCTCGGTGCGAGTCCCAAATAACTACAGCTTGCAACTCATCAAAACGAATTCTATCGAGCGCTTTGTCGTTCTCCAACTCTGGGGTGAAAGTTAGCGGAGGTAACCATAAAGGTGCGATCCTTGCGACGACATTAACGCCTGATCACCTCACCAGCGTATTATAAACGACTTCTAAGTCGACTCGGGTCGATACACAAGTACACAGTAAGTAACGTGGTGCCTTTTAAGGTGTACATGCCACCTTCTAGTACGAAGATCCCTACGCTAATTTGAGGTTCTGATAAAATATGTCTAGCGCCAGATTCTTATGTTAACAAGCTATTATTATACACCAGAATTTTACAGCCTGCCATTCTGTAAAGCAGTGCAAGATTTGCCTCGGTATGTGTGAAAGCTTAACTGCGTACCAGTTCCTTTTCATTCAAAGGAGACAGATCCACAGGTGAAAGTGAATGAGGCGTATCTGCCAAAACACATTAAAAAAACTGGTTGTCGCTGCTCATCTCACAACAAATATTCGCAAAACAGTAATTAGATGTGGCGTTCAACAGGACACTATATAGTTAGCAATAGTTCTTTTATCGAAGATTGGAATCGATCACCGCGGTTCTTTCGTTAAACCTGTCAGGTAACCCACCGAGCTCCGTGGCCAAAACAGAGCGGTACGATGTGCGCTATGTTAACTGGCGTCAACCAGCCTTCCGCTACCTAGTGTTTTGTAGTCAGAGAGAATACCGCCGTGATTAAGCTAGGAGAATCATCGTGTAGCTTTGTAAATCGCATCCATGAAGGCAAACGAAAGATCATACCATCGTGACAGAGCATCTGAGTCGAGAAAAATAGCTTTAACTCAAAGCTGAGTCGAAATGGCTAGTTAGTGTACTTAACTGTTAGCAAACTGCTATATTCGGCAGCGTGCTTTTACCTTCAGCCAATTAGAAAGCGTAGTTCAGTAACCCATACAAAAATGCATGAAGAGGGATCAGTGTATCAGCTTTTTATCAGCTGCTGATCAAGTACTATGGAGGAGATACGAATGGTTTTGACCACATCTCTAATGGTCAGAATTTCCTCAGTGTTACACTTGACATTGAGTTACATGAAACAATTAAGCTGGAAGGCGACCAGCAGAAGAATTAGTACTGTACATAAAACGGAAGAGTAAAGAGTATTAGGAGGGATTCCACTCAATGCATGAGAACAAAGGTGTGATCAATACAATAAAAGGTTATTTGTCGTGTGAGATTCTGAAGCAATTGACGCTACGAATAGTAAAACACACACACTGTTAGGCATGGTTGATAAATAGATTTAGAATCTCTGTATAGTTCGCTCAACGTAATGTTTGAATTTGGAGTTTCCAACTGAATCACATGGTGGAATATGTACATAAGGGAACAGTATCCCCCGAAAATCATCACGAGATCAACGAAGGGAAACAGAGGATAGCAACATTCTGGCATCCGATGCGTCCACCCGGTTCCTTCAATTAAACGGCAAACTGTGTGGAAGATTCTGTGGTTGAACTCGCATTATTGTTCTGGCCTGATCCTAATGCGTTAGAGGCAACGGTGGTCACCCGATTTCTTGAAGCTGATGCGTTGGCACTTGACCGCCTGCCACTATTATTGTTGTTAGGCATAAAATGTGTGATCAGGTCAACCGGAAGTGGGAATATTATGGTGGAATTTTTTTCAGCCGATATGGTGCCCAGTGTCTGGAGGTACCTCAGTTGCACAGCGAATGGCGACTCAGTGAGGACGTCAGCCGCTTCCTTGAGTGCTCTTGAGGCTTTCCATTCGCCTTCAGCAGCGATTACCTGTGTGGGTTTGAAAGAGAGGTGGTTTACGCTATTAAGGGATAGCAAATCGCGAGTAACCGTTTTCAACTGTTATGTCATAGATTAGTTTTGGAAGGAGCATTTCATTTTTTTTGCATAGACGTGTTCAAGGAGCAGGATGTTAAAGTGTGTTACCTTCGTTTCAGATACAGGTGGGCATAATGAGGTGTTCTCCATTCATCATTACGGTAAACATGTGGAATAATTGCATCATTCAGTTCAATAAACTTGCATCGCTTATGTATATGACAAGCAAATCGGAAAACAACCAATGATCAATTAGCCCCAGGTGCATAAAAGCGAATTTTTGTCTTGCTATGACTTCACGATAATACCAACAAACTCTGTTAAGTCAAGCCAAAATGTAGAAAACAGTCTCGGTTTTGGTTCGAAAATCCATTAATGAAAATACTATCAAATTACATAAGCACAGAAAATACACCAACCTTAGCGCGGGCCTCACGCGTTGCTTCTGCCTCCGCGGCCATGGCACGCTGCAGCTGCACAGGAAGACGGACATCTTTTCTGTGAGGTGGATGGAAAACGAGGTATACCATTAGTTTATGATGCCAATGAAGTTTTAGCCTAGATGGGTGCACCCGAAGTGTTTAACGGTACAAGGTGGAAACCACGAAGTTATGGGATTAAACAATTAGTGAGCTACGACGTAAATAGCCGAAGGCGATAAGAATCTACTATGCTACTCTGATCAATCGATCCACAACAGTGATACGACGGCTTATCATCTGTACATGCCTTGCCTATATGACCAGCAATTTTGGAGTTAACTATATCCAACTAAGTAGGGTAGAGTTTCGTACTGTGGTAGAGAACAGCAATAGTTTCCTCAAAGGTTCAATGCCATAATACTTATCTGTCGCAGAGGTAAACAGGCAATGACACGGGTTCTCCATTCGACGGTAGCACAATATGAGGTTGTCACCCTGAGGATTGTAACTCCTATGTAAAGCGATAGGAATTGATAAATTTACTGCTCTATGGTAAAACAATTAATTTTTGTTACACTCTAAATTTTTGTGTCCCCATCGGTCCATTGTGCGTATGTAAAACTTGGCATCAACCGCAGGCTTATTTTTTGGTTGCCCCTCAAAGTTGTAAATTAACGACGTACCAAATTTTGTTTCCTCTTAAAACATCAATCCATACATATTTAAGCTCACCCTGATGCCGTATCTAGTTGTGTGACACCGGTCAAAACTAATCAATCATCCTCTGGGGCGTTGTCGAAACAGCAAATGTTCTAGTCTGGTTACTTCTCTTTAAATATAACGGTAGAACAATGTAAGTCTATTAAAGCTTGAATTAGTGCATTGAGTTTACTTCCAATACGTGCTCTGGCAAACTGATCCAATCATGTACCACAACGTTCAGAGCACAAGGATTGGGAAACTCGTTACAGTTACGGAACCAGGAGTTTGCACTGATATTCGCAAAAGTTGCAAGGGTTTCGCAAATGGAACAGCGGCCTCAGTATAGTGAAGTCACGGAGACATGATGAAGTAAACTTGAACCTAATAATGCTACAGGATGCACAAAACCATTCCGGCTCACAAGTTTTCGTACGGTACACCCAGGAAGCTGGAGCTGAGGCTGGTGGCGACGTATTGGACCCGTTGATCCTTCGCGCCTTGCCACCAGTAGTCATAGGGTAGGCGAGCAATACGCACTTTAGACATGTTCATATTGTTGTCAAAAGGAGGCGCGATAACCGCTTCAGCATGAAGTTGGTAGCTATGTTTGAGCACCCAACGCAAGCGCAAGCCAATACTGTATGGCCTATATGTCATGTCTATCGAGTTCAGATCGCAGCGTCAAAGCACCCCCAAGTCTTTCATGGAAGGTGCGGACGGGAGTGGTTGACCGTCAAGAGTGTACCTTCTACCGCCACCACTCTTTCTCATTCTCATGAATACTCTCTTGTTTGGGTCGACTGGGCATCAGACCTTTTTACACCAGATGGAGAGGTCTTGCCAAAGTAGACCTCAGTCGTTATCTCTACACGTCGTCTGTGGAGTAAACTATAACCGGACAAGCTGAGGTAGGTCGTTGATAGCAGTAGGCCCCAGCAGCTTGACTAAGGATACGCCACTGGTCAACGGTTATCAATCGACCTGATGACCCCGACATGTATCCTCCATTTTCGAGTGTAGGGAGATCATTTGACCGGAACACTAGTAGCAAACTGTTCTTTATGGTCTCCTCGGCTGTCTAAGTTAAAATAGGCGTCAGACAGCTTGGCCTATAGTTGTCTTCTTTGTTGGGATTAGAGCCTTTCGGAATTAGCATTAACACGGAGCATTTACCATCACACAGTAATGAACCTACGGTCAGTAACCTGTTCAACAGGTCAGTCACAGCAGGCGGGATGATCTTCGATAAGGACTTGAGAATCAGTGGATGGAGCCTGTCAGGCCCAGCAGGCTTGGTGAGTAGTTGACGCATCTATTCGAAATAGTACTTGACTGTTGGCTATGGGATGGGTAGTACACGTCGAACTCGGGAGCGAAGTGCACCACCAACACGGATGCACGCTCACTGCCATAGGTCAAGAGCTGTGCGTGCGAACCCTCTATCACTGGTACGTCAGCTGCAAGATTTAGGCACAACCTTACGAAAAAATGCATACTTTCGGGTGGTTCTTTGGAGCTGTTGTAAGGTGCTCTTGGAAATACCAGCGCTTGCTTGTTTTGCTACTGTTTCAATTAGCCCGTTGCCTTTTCTACGCCTGGTAGTTTTCCACAGAGCCAGACAGAAGGAGTCTGTTAAACAGTCTGCTTTGCCAACGAAATATTTTAACATATGGTGGCAAAGTTAAGTGCACAAATCTTCAGCAAAATTGACACAAGTCATGCACAACACGTGAGTTACATTCTAATACAACGCTAGCACAAGAAGAAAGAGAAGGAAGGTATGAGCGGTACGTCGGTACGCATTACCGACGCTTTGTTATCGCGCGACCATCACTGGTCACACGCGAGCTATAGATATCGCAAGGGTCGCCCTGCACTACGTAAGCTCGAACCCGTGCAGTCAGATTACGAAAAAAGCAGGTTACGTTTAGACTACGGGCCGACAATCTTTAGCCTACTGGCCGGCACACGTCCCGTTAAAAAGGCGCCATGAGGCATATCCACGCCCACGCTACTTAGGCGAGCAACGCTAGGCTCAAAAGATCAGTAGAAACCGCTTTCTGACTTCCTACATACAGAAGTACTGGACAACTAGTTGATCCTATGTCGTTCCGAAGTGCACGTCCTAAAGACCTCAATGGCGAGCGCAGCTAAAATTTATGCATCCCTGTTCCGGCGAAGTTTCTATGTCTACAAAAAGGATGAGCCTAATGAAATTTTGACTGACAGGCGGTTCATATCCTATGTAATTCGATTATCAGTCGTATCCAAAATAAGCAGATAAACGAAAAGGCTGTGGCCACCTACCCTTTCAGAGTAAGGCTTTTTGCATCAGCCAGTAGGCAGAGTATAAACGGCTATTGTTTAAGACAATTTGGTTGCTCACAGACGGATTTAACAAATTCACATCGGCACTTTTTTGAGGTTCCGAACTAATCAAGAACACGAGGCAGTATTTTCTAATATCATGCGAGCTAGAAAGTCGAATGTCAGCAGGTATCAATAAATCTAACGAAACCTTGCAGCTGAATTGAAGTTGCGTGTCAACTGACTGATCAATATCTCTGTAGCTGAGCAGCAAATATGTTTGGACACTCACAATTACACTTGCTGTGGACAGCTGCCACCGGTTGCATCAACATGCAACCACACACAAGATATTTCCAGTTTAAGGTCGATAGCGCAGGTGTGAACTCATCCAAATCGGTGAGATATGTTGGACGTCTAAGAAGCCATGATTTTTCGTGATCACATCAAGTGAACGTGGTATACCCAACATACGGCAGACCATCGCTTTACGTTTCTCTCCCTCACCTCCCTCTGTTTGATTCTCAGGTTTCCTACTACATGTGACTAGTTCGTTTGAAGATGCTGTTCTCCTGTGGTCTCTCCAGGTAAACCAAGCTACATCGCAAAGCACTGACCAGGATATTAAAGCATGTGAATCGGCTTACGGCACTTCAAGTCTATATGTGTTGAGGTTATGGTGTCCAGACAAGTCAACTCATGTAAAATATTTAAAGAAAATATCCACCGAAGCTATTCACTCTCTCACTATCGGATTATCCAAATGCGCATCCGATTCACCGGCCAAAGAAATTACAGGACTATATGGTGGGATCGCCGAACAATACAACCGTGGTGTCAGCTATATGATTCGGGGTTTTCATGTTCCAATCAGTGGTTGGGCGGCAGTGTGACACAACGTCCTAGGATTTCGTCAGAGAAGCGTTCTCATCATAAAATCCATTCATAACTGTTTAACAGCAGTATGACCCCTTAAGACACAGGCAAGAAGTTGATACAAAAGCGTACTGTTTGTGTTGGTGGTGATGTACTAGTATTCTTGTATTTTGTTTGTTAATTGTCAATGGTGCATATTTGCACACACAATGTGAATATGAACTCTATACGTGAGTACATATCTACACATTGTATACGAAGGGGACAACGTGGCGGATGTGCCTTTCCACCAAATATACTTATTGCCCATTGATTCACCAAGGTAGAAAATTATATTCCATTGGCTGGATGTTATAATTGTGCGGAAGATTGGGCCCCTGTTTAGTAAATTACCAAAAAAATAGGTATATGAACCGAGAGTTCGGTCATCGGCTTGCAACGGTCGCCATTCGTTGAAGTCACGTGCTTACTTGCGGGTAGATCGTCGAATCGCAGGCCAGCGGTGGCGTCCCTTAACTCCGGTGTTGGCAACCATGTAATGTAGAACCCCTTAAAATACCATGAAGTATGATACTACTTCAATGCCCTCTATCCCATGTCTTCGTCGCATCTTAACAAATAACAGAATCTCAACCATTCTTCCGTTGCTAATTCGTTATCATCGGTTTAATCCAGGTGCCAGTTTCGCCACTGTCTATAAAAGTCTGCCTGAGGCAAAGCTTTGACTTTAATCCACGTTTTGGGTGGAAAGCTTTAATTTTCGAATACTTGTGTGGATCGGGAAACATGCCGGTTTGAGATTTACACTGAATTCCATTGTTAATGATATCTGCTGCCTAAGTGAAACAGGGCTGCAAGACCGCAGCAGTGTTCAAGTTGACATCTCCAACCAATCAGAAAGCCAAATACATCCTACATTTGTCTGGCGGCGTAGAAGCAGCTGCAGTTGGTGTGGGTGGTGGTGGCGTGGCATTAAGCAGCAAAGGCGAGGCCGCACTCCTAATTTGATTTCCGGCCAACGATCTGAACTTCGGTTTCCAAACTCGTGCAGGGTCAACAGGCATCCAGCTAAAAGGCGCAACCTGTTTGTAGTTCCCAAGTATGCGTCAAACGATTGTAGCTGTTGATTGACCAGGGACGATTTTTATCAATAAATTCATCAGCTGTTAAGCAAAGCCTCCAAATGCAACA